AATACCACCTCGGGGGACACCAGAAATGGTCTTCACACGTTGTACCCATGTGGGGAATTGAAGCCGGGACACTTTAACCACTTGGCGAGCGGACACTTTAACTACTTGGCTACCCCTACCCCTCAAAAAACACAACAAAAACAACAACAAAAAACAAACAAAAGTAACAAAAAAACGCCCCAAAACAAAACAAACAACAACAACAACAAAACAACAAAACAAACCAAAACAAAACAAAACAAAACAAAACAATGAAAAAACACAACAACCCCCCCAAAAAACCCAAACCAAACAAACAAAAACAAAAACAAACAAAACAAAAAAAAAACAAAACCCCACAAAACAAACCTTTAATCCATCCATCCATCCATCCATTCATTCATTTATTTATTCATTTATGGTCACCTATACATAATCAAGTCTGGAACCACAAACCCAAGACCATTTACACACCACACACTATTTTCAGGTATTGGCATTTGGGGCTATATATTATACAAACAATTCATTAACGGACAGAACTACTTACAATTAGCGGGTCAATATTCAGCACTTACATTGATTCACTCTCAGACCCATATCAATACGAGATTAGTCTGTAACATAACCCCCTCAACCGATCTTAATGATCATATTAATAAATAAATATGTCATTAAGTAGTTTTGTGACATCAATTCGTTTTATGGATGTGAAATGTCAGTAGTACAGGAACGTCAAGGGAGGCGAAATTCTTAACTGAAAGTTGTATAGATTTCTGTATGCCCTAGACCACCACGACAGTTCAGGTTGGTATGATATATTGATTTGACATAATAATACAGTAGAACACGGATATAAAGAACTCCAAGGGACCAAGAAATTTAGTTCGCTATATCCGTTGTTCGTTATTCACATTTGACTGCCATCTTGGATTGTAGAGATGTAGACATTCACAGACATTACCTATATCATGTTGATAAATATGAAGTTTATTTTTATAATAAAATTGAAATAATACCACTACAACTTAAATAAGTTTATTTTTTAATGAAAATGCAAGCTGACATTGATAATGTCCAGATAAACCACGAAAGAAAAACCTTTAGCGATTTTTTTTCCATTTGTGACATGTCATAACATGCCCGTGCCTTTTTCTTTTTATATTTTCATTTTTATGTAATCAGGCTTTCCGTTCGTTAACATGACACAACAACTGGAAATACCTCCGTTTTCGCAGCTTCGTATGAATAACATGCGAGGCGAATCGTGTGGTGTCTGTTATCGTTCGACAGCTCTGGAAAATCAACAATATCACTGTACCCTTGCCGAGAGTATTTTCACAGTTGTTAAAAGCGATTTTATTGGATAAAGATTGGTTTTCTAATGACGCTTTTTCGTCACAGTCTGCTTTAAGGATAGTTATTGGTCAAAATCAGACACGTGACCTAAGGCAGCCAATCATACGAAGGCAATGGATACCGTCCTCGTCAACGAAAACTTTTGTTTTTCATAACGTTGTGGCCGATTATTTGGCCTGCGGTGTTGAATGGGTTAAACACAATATGTTTGTTTTGTTGATTAATTAATGACCATCAAACAATGTTGATTCACCGCCAAGTTCGCTAATCACGTCGTTAATTGGGTCTTGGGGGTAGTAAATCAGTTCGCTATAGCCCTTAATTCGCTACTCACGAGTTCGTTATTCACGTATAACTGTTGACGGGACTTTTAAATTTGTTCGCTATATCCGTTTGTACGCTATATCCGTGTTCGCTATAACCATGTTCTACTGTACCAACACGATAGTGTTATTGGTTTATCAATATAAAGACTATTTAGAGCAATAAAGATATCGTTCAAAACGCTCTCTGAAAGTTCCGTCCTCAGGACTAGTTACACATTATATGGAGGTTGTATATGACTCTTTGCCCTCAAAATGTATGGTAACCCTGTGATTTGGTACCAAAAATACATTAACAACAAGTCTATTGATTAGATTAATTAGGACTTATCAGTTCCATTTTGCAGATGCCTTGATCATGAGAGTCATTGCGGAAAATTAATTATATGACATTATAATATACACAAAGAACTTAAATAAGCACCCCTTGTATTTTTGCAATGATATGTTTTCAACACGTAAATAAAACTTCTCGTGGTGACCACGATGGAAAACATGAGGCCAAGGTCAATACCCAGTGTAATCTCCATGTGACCGTATCCTCATACCCCCTGTCAGCCTCCTGGTCCTCTGAAGGGGCAGTCTACGCGATTCTTCGTGTAAAGCAGCTTCCAATCGGGCCAGGTTAAGTACAGGAGGATCCCTTTGTTGCACACGACGACCAATCATGTCCCAGATATGCTCCAAAGGTTTAAGATAGGGGCTCCTTTAATCTTGAGATATGTCACGGGGTGCTTAACTAAGGTCTTTGTGTATGTAAGGATTATAATTGGCCATATATAGCGCTGAACTCCACGAAGCAGGGACATGCTCTGAGCGCATACAACATGATGAACAGTATTACCCCGGATAACCCAAGCTGCCTGTGAGGCCCTAGAAGCTTAACAGTCATATGACTTATCCCACCGGGTTCCCATTTTCTGCTGGGTGAACAGAGGCTATTATTATGACTGAAAGTGTTGAAAGCTGTAAACAGCTGTATATCCCCAAGCATCAACAAATTTATCGTTAACACACAACCATGGGGTATTTTCTTGTATGGAAGGCAAACGTCTCAAATTTAATTTGGGTCGAATACTGAAAAGATATGTATTTAGTATTTTAATATGTATAAACAACATAGATGCCAAATATTCTTCTATCGTCGCTCAACAGCAAGGCATACACACGCACGAACGCACGTACATACACGACATATCCAATCATGTTCAGCAAAGCAGAAATGTTATTTTGAAACGCAGTTTGTCATATCGATCGTTCCCGATTGAGGATATCTGCAGACGCGTGGGAAACAACTACAGATATACACCATTGTGTCGAAGTTGAAGGGACCTACGCACATACTTCGAGTTATCCGATGTTCGACACAATCGCAAAATATTGACTGTATAGGGAATACGAAGTGACCAAGCTTCAGATTTCAGTGAGTGAGTGAGTTTAACGCCGAGTTTAGCAATATTCCAGCAATATCACGGCGGGGGACACCAGAAATGGGCTGCACACATTGTACCCATGTGGGGAATGGAACCCGGGTCTTCGGCGTGACGAGCGAACGCTTTAACCACTAGGTTACCCAACACCAGAAATGGGCTGCACACATTGTACCCATGTGGGGAATGGAACCCGGGTCTTCGGCGTGACGAGCGAACGCTTTAACCACTAGGTTACCCAACCGCCCCTTTTGATTTGAGACAGATGTACGATCGACAAAACGGTGTTTGATGGATCTTATACGTTAATGTATATTAACGATATTATGAAAGGTAGGGATGTTTGACGGATATTATAAGTTGTCCACTGGTCTCGAGGGGGACATGGGCTGATGTACCCTCGATGTTTGATTATGTTCCCTGAGCCCGAATCTTCGTGGAAAGGGCGAAAGGGAGTGTTATTGGGTAGAAAATGCGTCCCCAAAAACATCAGAAAATTACAACAAATTCATCATTTAGCATGGAGTACCAGACGACAAGAAAAACAAATTTAGAGTTATCTTCCTTCCATCGATTTGCATTCGCAAAACATAGTTAATTTCCGTACATCATACGTGATTCAATGTTATTCTAGATAAAGAATTACTACTACGAAGTACCAAATGAGTTTGGCATTCCCAGCGGGGTACATAAACAATGTTACTCGCTTGTAAGCAGGGTACATTGAAAATAATAGAAGAGCGCTCAGTCAATCAGAAAACGACATTTATGTGTGAGGCAAGATAATATGCAGTGTTTGACTGTACTCTAGTCAAAAACATTGACTAGTACATCACAGTTACATCGTAGCATCGTTACAGAACATCAAAGAGTGGTCCTTATATGTCAGTTTAACTTGAAGATAATGAGAAAATTGTTTGACACATCTATTACCGTTTCCGGGTCATGCAAGCATTCGCTGTCAAACGGATTTAATAGTATGCTAATTATATCGTCGTGGTCATGTTTTTTTCATACTAGTGGTGATTACATCACATACGGTTATCCTTGTACTTACAGAGATATTGATGTTTTTCCTCTCATCTGACAATGACATGTAAAATATTTTCAGTTTAGAGGATCGTCAACCTTCGCACGGGTATGCATAGACGGTCGTGTCGAAGTTAAGGCACTTAGGTAAATTCTTTGAGTTATCCGTGGTTAGACACAACCGAAAAGTATACGAATAAAGAACGAAGACGAAGGGACCAACCTTAAATTCGACACAAAGATGTTAGACTGTGTGTATTTAGCGAAGTAAAGTTAAGTATAAAACTTAACACTAGTTTATGCTGACGTCGAGATAAGTGCGCCATGTAAGATTTTCGTACTCTGATTATAAGAGATTATAACTAAAGGTGTGTTATCACGACAATGAGAGAAAGTTTGACGGATATAAATGGAGGATATTATATGAGTGCCCATGTCATACTATGTTTACGACACGAGTGCCTAAATGTTGTATTTCCCTTGCGAGAGCGAGAGATATACCGATATTTAGGCATGAGTGTCGTAAACATACTTAAGTATGATATAGGCACGAATATAATATTCTATTTATTAGCGCAGTCGTCAAATGGAGGAAAATAAACCCAAATCTACTTTCAAACACAGGCTGGCTGCCCGCCGTCGGCGCACGTAGAAAGCAACGCCACATAAGAAACGTGACGTCATAGCATTGTTCATGACGTCACGTCACCCTTACAAAGTGATATTTTGCCCTAGGGCATCGTATGAAAAATATGAACCCTGATATGTTCGCCCTCGTAGGTAATAATATAGTTTATCAACACTATAAGATAATGTACGACGGATATTATTATCTCTATATATTCTATCAAGACAATGAGAGATGCAAAACGGATCTTACCGTCCTGGTCACAGTATTTATAATATACCCATCCGTCTCCAGGCACTACGTCTTCAGTCGACATGGACCGGTTAGAGCTCCCTTGGCAAGTAAGAGTTCCGGTGTTGTAGAAGAACGACATGCACCTTGGGTCTCTGTAGCAGTCCCCAGCACATTCCGCCACCCGCTGCCTTTTCCCTCTGCTCCACAGTGCACCCAGGGAACTCGTGGACCCAGCCAGGGAAGGTTCTGGACAAAAGTTGGCTCTTTCCAGTAGGACGGACGTGGCGGAACCAAGAAACCCCAGCATGAGCATCACCTTTATACATGCCATGTTCTTCTGGAGAAACTCTGGAAGGTTAAAAATGTCAAATGTCAAACAGCGCTAATGCTGTGATACGGTAATACAACATGCTGTAATATATGGAATCCTGGAAGGGACATTGTCGCGTTGTCGCATTGTCGCGTTGTCGCCCTCTCAAATACAAGCAAAATGAAGCAAAATTAACAAAAACGCGACACGCGACATCGCGACAATGCGACAAATGGGCGAAATGTCGCGATGTCGCGTGTCGCGTTTTGGTTTATTTTGCGACAATGCGACATAGCGACAATGTCCCTTCTCGGATTCCATAGTAATATGTTCCTGGTCTCACAAAGAAGGGACTCTTAGCTTGTCATTGTCAACATAGTGGGCGAAGATGAATTTGACTTCATTTTGAGTTGTCCATACCATAACATTAGCAGAACTAAATTCATTCCAAAATATTTTCATCACTATCCTTCCCGGGAAAAACTACAACTTGTCTTCAACAATTGTTAATATTTTGAAAGGACTCGCATTATATTTGAAAATAATCTTTATATAAAATGATTCTTATATTTTGCAGTAACATGTTTTCATGTGTTATAGAAACAGAATGATCATTTATTGTACACTATACTACTCTGCATATGATATCCTTGTACCTATCAGAAATAATTCACGTACATCTCAGTAAACATTCCACACAGAACTTTGTATTTCAACACAGTTGGTAATCTTGACCACGAGGCCTCCAATACTGAATAAACACTTAGACTTTGACTCTTGTCATTGTGAATTCTCTTGTTGAGGACATGATGTCACACAGTTACTTATGTAAATTGTTTCGCGCTACCAAGTCAGCAAAATAAGCACGAAACATTGTCAATTCCATCTACAAATGAAGGTTTTCAACACACAAATGCTTGAAAGATAACTTACACGAGGTCTGGATGAACACAGGTCTAAGCAGCATTCCAGCTATATCACACCGGCGACAGGTGAAACGGGTGACATACTTTGTATGGATGTGGGAATTGAACCCAGGTCTTCGGCATGACGACCAAAAGCTCTGCGATAGTGATTGGACCAGTGTTGATGCCACAGAGATCGTGTACCTGTGAACCAGTCTGGGTGAGAGGAGCGGCGAGCTCCTACTCGCAAGCTTAGATCTTGTAATCTCCTTCACGTGACACTGAAGACAGCCCGCAACAGCTAACCCTGTTGTGGAGGCACGCGTTATACATAATAACACTGTGGGTCCATCAATATCATAAGTGCTACAAATACGAGATTTCGAACAAAAGCAATTTTCTATGTTCGATTTATTGACAACACTGTTTAACACACTCCGTCACCTCTGTGATCAACCGGAGGATTGATTGTAGCGCCACGATAATGTCTCCAACGAAAGAAGGACTGCTTCCTAGAAGTGTCTTCATTATGTAATTTGATGTTTGTTTCTGGAACTTTCCATTACAACCCACAAACGTAACACGTGAACGCAAGACAATCAGTTTCATTCATGCCAATACTGACACCAAAGAACCAAAAGGCAAAACAGTTGTTGAAACCATTAAAATGGACCACCGACAGTCAGCGATCACGGTAGAAGGTTCCACCCCACTGGGAGTGTTATTGGGTAGAAAATGCGTCCCCAAAAAGGTTTGAAAATTACAACAAATTCATCATTTAGAGTTGCATGTTTCCCATGATTGCTTCAATGCTATTGTTGCCTTTTGTTACATTAAGAAACAGAACGCATTATTTGTGAGAGAAGAATACATAAGACCATTAGGGTTATTAGTTAACCGTGAATCACTAGTAAGGTTTTTCAGTATTTTTCATCACGACACGGACATGAGATCAAGTGAGTGAGTTTAGAGTTACTCCGCACTCAGCAATATGCCAGCTATATGGCGGCGGTCTGTAAATAATCGGGTTCATGAGTTCAAGGTGTGACTGGGTTTGTTACGACAAAAAACATTGTATCGGGACATGTGATAACGGTGATCAGGCTCGACAACTACTTTATTTCAATAAACCCGTGAAGATCCGGGTTAGAATATTGATCTTCAGTAACCCATGCTTGTCGTAAGAGGCGACTAACGGGATCGGGTGGTCAGGTTCGCTGACTTGGTTCACACAAGTCATCGGTTCCCAATTGCGTAGATCGATGCTCATGCTGTTGATCACTGGATTGTCTGGTCCAGACTCGATTATTTACAGACCGCCGCCATATAGCTGCGGCGTAAAACTTAACTCACTCACTCACTCACTTTATTGCAATAAATGAGATCTATCGGTGCTAACACCGTTATCAAGCAAGTATAAGCTGTCACTTGCTTGGTAATGGTGATGGCATCTACACCGAAACGTCGCATGTATTGCCTATCCATAAAAAATGCTCCTCTCAACTACAGTGTTGGTGCTCTCTTTTGATAAATTTTGAAAGAATTCGACACCATGTTTTGATTCGTTACAAACTCCATCACATCTTGTACTCATGAACCCTCCCAGTCCCCCATGGGTGACAAACGCTGTGTACACGGGCTGTGTCACGCCTTGCCCACGCGTAGATGGTTAATGGATTTATCGACAGTCGTCCCCGTTCAATGATCTGTTGCCTGACGTTGTACAGAAGTACTGACGGATCTCTAGTGCCTCTTTATAGTTAGAGCTGATCCCACACGAGGATCTTTGCTTTGAGCAATGAGCACACAATGCCATTTAGAAAGTGGTCAAATGTAACAAATGTTATATTTGGGATTACGGTTTCCCTGTTAGGTACAGATTCTAGCACTTTTGTTGGGTTGAGTCCCATCTGGGATTCGAACCCACACCCTCAGAGTGAGGCACCTGTGGAATCGCCAGCACACAAAGTCAGCCATCTAACCAACTCAGCCAGCGAGGCTTTCACTGTTCTCATACAGCCTGCATTGGTGCTTACACTATTAACCACTGGTTCGATTGATTCGATTATATGTAAGGCATTACAAGAAAGCTGTTCACTTTGTCATACTAAACCTAATTACAAAGGAACATTACCCTCTCAACACACGGGTACAACTGTGTACAGTGTTTATACTATTCCATAAGCATTAAACTACGTCTGTAATAAACACGCTTTTAACGAACTGACGGATATAACAAAAGGTCTTATTGTTCAATAAACAAACTAAAATACGGCTTCCGCTGAGGTCGTTATGACCCTTGTTTACTTTAGTCTTATGTGAGTAAAAATGATTGTCTCTTTACTTACTCAAATGGATGTGGGCGGTGGGGTAGCCTAATGGTTAAAGCGTTCACTCGTCACGCTGAAGAGCCTGCTTCGATTCCCCACATGGGTACAATGTGTCAAGCCCATTTGTAGTGTCCCCCGCTGTAATATTGCTGGAATATTGCTAAAAGCGGCGTAAAACTAAACTCACTCACTCAAATGGATGTAATGTTGTTTTATACAGTCATTGTTCTCTCTTGTACACACAAAACATCAACTTAGCTATCTCTGTTATCTAATAGGTGGAGCTATCTCTGTTATCTAATAGGTGGGGATCTTTCCTAATAATATTCGAAACCCAGCAGTTGTCTTGAATATTCTCTGATAGAATGTAACCGTGTTGCAAGCTATGACCTGTCATAGAAGCATATTCTTTAAGTTACACGGCTTTGTTCCTGCACTTACGTTAATGAACACTTGACGCTCAGTGGAAGAATGCCGATACTTTCGTATAATGATGTCGACCTATTGTTCGGTTAGTAATGAACATGGACTTCAAATGGCAGGTTTTAGACTTCAATTATACCTGTCTTGTACATGTAATTTACATACATATCACAGGCAGATCACGCGGATACCACATACATTTACTGGTATATTTCAGGTATATCACATTCATGTTACTTGTAGAACTCAGGTTTATCACATAGATGTCACTTACGTATCACAGGAACATGACATGCAGATCACATAGATATGACAAACATGTCTCTGGTAGCTCACAGGTATATCTCACATTTCACGGGTAGATCACGGGAATATCGCATTTATAGTACATACATGTAACTGGTAGCTAGATCACATATATATCGCATAGATATCACATGTCACATGTAGATCTTGGGAATATCGCATGGATATCACATGTCACTAGTAGATCACAGGCATATCACATAGATATCACATACATGTCATGTGTAGATCACGGGAATATCGCATGGATATCACATGTCACCAGTAGATCACAGGCATATCACATAGATATCACAAACATGCATCTCACGTGTAGATCACGGGAATATCACATGAATATAACATGTTACTAGTAGATCACAGGTATTCCGCATAGATAACACATACCTGTATTCCTAAACAAATCATAGATACGGGAATCTTTGCTGTCAGATCACACGTCCATGATCGGAATTATGAGATTAATTCAAGTCAAATCAAATTCAAATGGAGTTTATTTGTAGTGAGTGAGTTTAGTTTTACGCCGCACTCATCAATATTCCAGCTATATGGTGGCGGTCTGTAAATAATCAAGTCTGGACCAGTCAATCCAGTGATCAACAGCATGAGCATCGATCTACGCAACTGGGAACCGATGACATGTGACAACCAAGTCTGCGAGCCTGACCACCCGATTCCGTTAGTCGCCTCTTCCGACAAGCATGGGTTACTGAAGGCATATTCCAACCCGGATCTTCACGGGTGAGTATATTTGTTATGAGGCCAAGGGCCCATATACAAAATATACAAAACATGGTTAACACTAATATACAAATCTAATATGAAGTTTAAGTGTTTCTAAAGTTTACGTATTTATTTTTACATAGGAATGGCAAATGCAATACCGTACACGTTTGATTAGATTCTCCTGAGATGTACATAATAGACTTTTAAACTTATGAATAGAGGGGAATTTAGAGGATTAATTCTAATTCATGTTCAGTTTAAAGGCAAACATTTAATGGATGTCAACTTCTTTATTTTGAGGAACATGACATCTCGCAATACATTCTTACTCCTTCAGCAGTTGAAGGAAGTGGACATCCATACAATTCTTGCCTTTATGTATCACTTCTAAATGACATTCAAAGACTTTAGTTCAGTTTATTTTATTAGATTATACCATGCGGTCTGTAGTGTTGTAGACCGCCTCCGTGGTGTTGTGGTTAGAGCGTCCGCTCGGAGAGCGGAAGGTCGCGGGTTCGATCCCCGGCCGCGTCATACCAAAAGACGTTAAAATATGGTACTTGTTGGTCTCTGCCTGCCGCTCGGCATTAATGGGTACAACAAGGACTGGTCGGCTCGGAGTCAGAATAATGTGTCTGAGTGGGGTATTCATGCTTCACTGCGGCATGGTATCTCAGTGGGCTAGCACTATAAAACCAGCTGAAGTCTGGGCTAGTACAAGCAGCCGCACATACACATACACACGCATGCACGTCGTCATATGAGCGCAATATGCTCAAGTACAACGTTAAACCCAATTTCACCTCACCTCACCTGCAATGTTGTTATGAGTGTCTCGGCGATGACCGTCCGCGTTGTAGCTATTCAAGAACCTGCCAATCAGACTGAAAGGTCTTAGTTTGAATATATTTCAATATATTTCCTGTTAGTGTTGCTTACTACACCAATTCAAAATGAGTTAATTGCATGCATAATATATGTGCAGTGTTGCCATGGCGTGACCAGATAATTAAGCGTCTAATTAGATTTGGTTCACTACAATTACGGACAAAATTCTATGATGACTGCTATCAATGTACAAATCATTGATGCAGGAATCTTTACTGGCAGATCTTCAATGAGTTTATTGACTTCAGGATTGAGAAAATGATACCTCTCAGCACGGAAGGAATCACTTAAACGGATTCTACGAGAAACCCATCTCCCGTTATAATCATACAAAGTTGCTATCGCTGTAAATGTCGCATATAAATAACCGTTACCTGAGATGGTTATGATGAAAAGATGAATGAGATCTGTAAGCATAGTTTGAATAAAAGGGAGCAGTATAAAAGGAAGCTGGAACTGGTGGTGGTTGTGGTGATGGTGGTGCTGGAGCTGCTGCTGGTGGTGGTGGTGGTGGTGGTGGTGGTGAAGCTGGTGATGGTGGTGGTGGTTGTGGTTGTGGTGGCGCTGGTGGTGGTGGTGGTGGTTGTGGTTGTGGTGGCGCTGGTGGTGGTGCTGGCGCTGGCGCTGGTGGTGC